AGAGAAAGTTCCGCATTGGCACCAGAGTCTGATCACGGTAAACATTTTAGGCACTAGAAAGGACTGGCTTGTGGCTCCCATNTGATCACGGTAAACATTTTAGGCACTAGAAAGGACTGGCTTGTGGCTCCCATCCTGACTATTTGTACCTCCCATCCAATAGTTATCATTTTTGAGCAATTACATTGTGCATCACTGTGCTGGATTATGGGAGCATCCATTTTTTAACAAGACAATTCTCAAACTTCAGAAAGTTTACAATCAATTGGGAACCATTGACAATATGCGACTATCCTNAACAAGACAATTCTCAAACTTCAGAAAGTTTACAATCAATTGGGAACCATTGACAATATGCCACCATCCCTGATATAGGTGCTCTGATGATTGGACTCCTGTGAAATCAGAGGGACAGGAGAGACCTGTGGGAAGATGTCATGCAAGCACTTTCCTGACACAGTGGGCCGACTGTGAGAGTGCCCTGAGTTGGGGTAGTCAGCTCCCCAGAACAAATCAGAGGGCTAAATGTATCTTGTCTAGGGGACTGAAGGTGCTTGGATCAAGGCTGTAGAAACCCTCATGAAGCATTTGAGAAGATTTTGAAAGGTGACGTTGAGTTATACAAGGAACCACTCTAGTTCACAGAAGTTCCCCCTAAGACCAGCCCCCAATTGGCAAGCTGCTTAGCTTGTATTATCTTCTGCCTTAAATAAAAATCCCCTATGCTGCTCCCAAAGAATCCCAGGTTTATCAACATGTGTAAGCAGGTTCCGTTCAGCTTTTCTTTTTAGTTACTTAAGACTTTTTTGCTTTCTCATCACCTTTTCCCGCTATTACTTTGTCAATATAGTGTCACACACACTTGTCCATGGCCCCCAGTGGCATTGTTATATCTATTTTGATATCTTCCATTTCCAGGAGGATGGTTTTCCTCTGGACAATTTATATTCTCATGGTGGTTGTGTGACTGACCATAGAGTGACCTGGTGGTAGTTGCTGACCACAGCAGGCACATCTCACAAGCCTCTACTGGGCTCCGTTCAAGTGATTTTATTTTCAGTAGTTTTAGTCATTTCTTATGGGTCACATAGTGATAAAGTAGGGGGAGATTTTCCTTTCTGGAAATTCCTTTCAGAGGAGAGGAGAATAAAACCTGGAGGACAAGGGAACAAATGATGACGTAATTTACTTCATGCTCGGCCTAAGCCAGGCACTGACTAATGCAAAGATGCTAACAGTAGCTTACCCCTCCTTCACCCCTTGAATCTCTGAACGTCTCACTATCTGTATTCTGCACCAAGTTCAAATCGTGTAAATTGAAATCACGTTAAACCATCACCTGGAGAGGGCGTGCAGAGTTTAGGATCTTGAACTTTGCCCTGAGAGTGAAATTATTCTTTTCTTTTTTTAGAGAGAGGAAGGAAGAAGGAGAGAGAGAAACACTGAGAAACATTAATGGCTGCCTCCGGAACATGCCCTAATCAGGAATCACACCTGCAATATTTTGGTGTATGGGACGTGGCTCCAACCAAGTGAGCCACGTGGCCAGGGCTGAAATTATTCTTCTTACAAGTAATTGTGCTTCCTTCTTCCATTCAACTGCCTGCATTTCTTCTAGAATCTGAAACAGTTTAACTTTTTTATTTTTCTGCCTTCTTCTCCATTGCTTATAGTTTGGCCCACTTGCCCTCTATCCATGTTAGCACCTGGTTTTTCATCCTGTATGACTCTGGACAACTTTCTCCAGTTGTCAGCCTTCTCCTGGCTTGGGTTCAGGATGCACAGTGCTTTATATCCTTACCAAAAATGTTTTTAGAGGTAATAGCAAGGAAGCAAATATCAAAAGCTGGTGAAATTTCAATCATAATTATAAAACTTTTGTGGTATTTTTCCTGCTCTTCATTCTGTGCTAAAGGGGAGAGCATATAGCTGCCTGTGGAGGGTTTATCTTCCCTAGGGCAGGAGGCCATCTCAATTTCATTAGTTTAGGAAGGCCTCTTTTATTTGACCCATTTCAAAGATGAGAAAATTATGCCTAGTAAATTCAGAAGAGCTTCAAATTCCAGCTCTGTTCTTTGGGTTGTGACAATATTCTTGAGTCTGAAATTCCTATTTTGAAAAATTGATGATTATACTCCCTATTGCCTTTGTGGCAGAGGAAATGAATGGTGTGTGACAGTAACATGTTTATATCAGTACCTAAAATCAAGAAGTTACTTTCAAAGGAACACTTCCCTGATCCTATTTCAATGTGACATTCATCAATGCATCAATTTCTCTTAGTTGAATAAAGTTCACTATTACATCGAATTCCAGTTTTCGCTCTCTTTTTTCTTTGTCTTTCATGTGGCTCTCAGATAAGTACATCCAAAATGCTTTCCAATTTCAAAACTACTTATGGCTGACCATTTTTCCTAACATGATAATGTCTATACTCTAATTTATACTAGGACCCAATCTACCTTTGTTACAATCTTTTTACCCCAATTGCTCCAAATTTTCAAGGTCACAACCTCACAGAGCTGAAAGTGGCTTTGAACATATTTTGCATTTACATGTCAAACTTTTCTTCTTAAACTCCCAAATGACTTCACTCCATTCATTACTTGGCACTTCCTCAACCTGATGATATCCTACTCTATTTTCAAGGCTAAGTTCAGATATGAAGGCATTTTTAAGGCCAATGCAAATATGAACAATAAGAATCACCCCTCTATTGTGTTTTAATATTAAATATTTTGCATAAGTAATATGTTGATTTAATCATTAGTTAGTTATAGAAATGTCTGTCTTATTGATGAGCTTAAGACCTCATTTAGTAAACAAGCCATATCTTGTTCACCTTTAATATTGTAGTCCCTGGCCCCCTCAGAATGGAATCGAAACAGGTAGATGCGAATAATCCTTTTCTGGTAAGAAAATGTTTGAGTATAATCTGAATTTTCCTCTCTGCCTTTGAATAGGAAGTGAGGTGCCAGGTCATCTGACTCAGGCATGAGTACCTTAAACCACACGGGCGTTAGCCACACAGTTTTTCGATTGCTGGGCATCCCTGGCCTTGAGGACCAGCACATGTGGATTTCCATCCCCTTCTGCATTTCCTATGTCATCGCCCTGCTTGGGAACAGCCTGCTCATCTTCATTATTGTCACCAAGCGCAGCCTCCATGAACCCATGTACCTCTTCCTCTGCATGCTGGCTGGAGCAGACGTTTTCCTCTCCACGTGCACAGTTCCTCAGGCCTTGTCCATCTTCTGGTTCGGCGCTGGGGAGATCTCCCTGGATTGTTGCATCACTCAGCTCTTCTTCATCCATTCCACCTTCGTCTCTGAGTCAGGGATCTTGCTGGCGATGGCCTTTGACCGCTACATGGCCATATGCTACCCACTCAGATACACCACTATCCTTACACATGCACTGATTGGGAAAATTGGTGTGACTATCTTTCTGAGAAGTTATGGTACAGTATTCCCCATAGTATTTCTTCTGAAAAGACTGACTTTCTGCAAAAGTAACATCCTCCAAAATACTGCTTGTAAACACATAGTCCTGGCTCATGTTTCCTGTGATGACATACGTGTAAACGTCTGGTATGGGTTTTTTGTCCTAATGTCAACAGTGGTCTTAGACATTGTGCTAATTATTTTTTCATATGTGTTGATTCTTCGAGCTGTCTTCCACATCCCATCCCGAGATGCTCGCCACAAAGCTCTCAACACGTGTGGCTCCCATGTCTGTGTCATCATCCTCTTTTATGGGCCTGGAATCTTTACAACCCTCACTCAGAGGTTTGGACAGCACATCTCACCCCATATACATGTCTTGCTGGCTAATGTCTGCATTCTGGCTCCTCCTATGCTGAATCCCATCATTTATGGGATCAAGACCAAACAGATCAGGGACCAGGTGGTTCATCTGTTGTTTACAAAGCAGAAATAAGTTTCCATGTTGGAAGCTGACATTCTTTTGTGCAGCCATTATATCCATGCATGAAGTAATATTTAGCACCTGTATATGGCAGCAGGTGGGATACTTGTCTAATGACTCCAGAAGTTGGTGTTTCTAGTACACTTGTATCAGGAGGTTTTGATGCAATTTTCCCCAAAGCCTCTAATCTGTAATTAAATATCAGTTTGTTTGCTGCCTTAAATAGCTTTCTTAGCCATAGAATGAGAAGTAGATCAGGACACCTCTCTAAGTCTTACTTACCTCTATAACTGTGAACTAAAGAATTCAATAACTTGAATCTTTGACAGTGATTTTTCCTAGAGATTGCTGAACTGTTCTTTTCTAGGGTGTTTTATTCTTTGAACAGCTTTGCTCTCATCAAGGTTTGGACATTTCCTCAGCCATTCTCTCTATGCCCTTGGTGTTTTTAACTTTTCGTTCTTTATTTGAATCATTCCAATTGTTTTTGTTAGTTTATTTGTTAATACCACTGAAGGATAGTTCTTCCATTGATTTTTAGAAAGAGTGGAAGGGAGAGATAGAGGGAGGGAGAGAGATAGAGAGAGAGGGACATCAATGTGAGAGAGACACATTGATCTGTTCCCTTGCAAACATCCCAAGCTGGCCAAATAGCAAACCTGCAACCCAGGCACATGTCCTTGATAGGAAATTGAACCCACAACTCTCCAATGCAAGGGCCAATGTTTTTCACTGAGACATCCCTACCAGGGATATTCCTATCTTTTAACATCACTTTTTTCTTCAATTTATAAATATATCAAAACAAAAATAAAATTTAAAAGCAACATCCCTGAATCTACATTCCCTTACATGTACTACTTCACTTCTCTTCTCCAGCATAGAGGAAATTACCTAGAATGGTTTGCCCTCTGTCAGTCTCAAATCTCCTGAGTTTTCACTTGACCCCACTCCATCTTTGCCTTGGCCCATAACCTCATCTAAACTGCACTTGTTAAGATCATAATGATCTCCACACTTCTAAATCAATAGAAAAATCTGTCCATGTCTTATTCAATGTAATAGCAACACTTTGATACATTTATCCATTCTCATTTATCCATCCTGAAAATCTTTGCTCATCTTACTCTCCATTTGTTCCTATGATCTTCGTGAGTACTCCTGAGATCCCTGTGATGGGTTTCCTTCATCTCCTTGACTTCTTCTCACTGGAATTCTTAAGGCTAAGTCCTGAAACTTCTCTCTCTCTCTCTTTCTCTTTCTCTCTCTCTCTTTCTGTCTCTGTTTATTTTGAGGAACCAGTTAAAGTAATTATGTGGCACAAGTTTGAAATTCTCAGAGGAGGACAGCAGGCTGGAAATTCAGGCAAAAGTTGAATTTACACTCTTGACTCCAAAAGCTGGAATCTTAGGCAGAATTTCTATGTTGCAACTTGAAGGCAGAATTCCATCTTCCTTGGGCACCTCAGTCTTTGCTTCTAAGGCCTCCAGCTGATTGGATGATGCCTACTCACATTATGGAGTGTTATCTATTTTACTCAAAGTCTAATGATTTCAAGATTATTTATATTTAAAAATATCTTCACAGCAACATGGAGACTGGTGTTTGACTAAAGATGTGGGCACCATAGTCTAGTTAAACAGACACATAAAATTAACCTTTATAGAATATTCCAGTATAGCTCAACAATTTTCCAGAGAAGGCCAGTCTTTAGTTCATCACATGCTAACTTCTAATCTAGGTATAGAGAGGTAAACTGGTCTAGTTCTGATTCTATGAATGAGAATGCTGAGATCCCAAAGACACTGATATCTAGTGACCATCCTATTTAATATAGCAATCCCTGTGACATTTCACCCACCACAGATACACTAGGCCCTTTGCATATGTTATTTTTCCCTATAACACATGCTGCCGCTGCTGCTGGTGGTGGTTGTAATAGCAAACCATTATGTAGAGTTGAGTGTAGGCCAGCTTTGCCTACTTATATTGTTTATTTTCATATTCTTTCAGGTAAATATAAGTTTGATGAGAAAAGTACTTTTGTGAGATATCTTCAACTGCTGTATCATAGCACCTAACAGCGGCTCTTAGCACATTTTAGGACCTCATTAAATATTTGTTGAATGAATAAATAACAAGAGGATAAATGAGATGACAGGTCAATGAATTATATGATAGTAGTTGTTGGTGGAAAGTCTTGAGAAGTTGGATACCCTGACACTTGTTGATTTCCATGTAGTCAAATCACTGGTCTTTCCTTTGGATTATTCTTTTGTTTTTCCCTCAGTTTTTCTCAGTTTAAGATAAGTGCATTACTTGCTATTTTTTCAAATTTCATTTGTTCTAGAGTTTAAATTTTATATTTAACGTTTCAATAATATCTCTTTGTTTAAAAACACATAATGAAGAAACATTATACCCATGACACAGAATCATGAATTTTAGATAATGTTTTGTTCTTTAAGTAAATTTTCACACATTGATATATGATATAATGATTTTTATGTCTTACGTTTTTATTGAGTGTCACATAAAAAGAATTTCCTTTGGCACCCAAAGAAATGTTTCATACATACTTTTGCTGACATATCCACTTGGGCAAGGGAAACAAAGGAAAAAGTAAACAAATGATACTACATCAAACTAAAAAGTTTTTGCACAGAAAAAAAAATCAACAAAATGAAAAGGCAACCCACTGAATGGGAGAACATATTTGCCAATGATACATCTGATAACCGATTAAATTAAAAAATTACAAAGAACTTGTACAACTCAACACCAAGAAAACAAACAACCCAATTAAGAAATAAGCAAAAGACCTAAATAGACAATTCTTCGAAGAATACATACAGATGGCCAAGAGAGATATGGAAAAATGCTCAACATCACTAATTACCAGAGAGATGCACATTAAAACCAAATGAGGTATCACCTCACACCTGTCAGAATGGTTACCAACAGCAAATCAACAAATGAGCCGTGCTGGCAAGGATGTGGAGAAAAAGGAACCCTTTTGCGCTGTTGGTGGGAATGCAGACTGGTGCAGCCACTGTGGAAACAGTATGAAGTTTCCTCAAAAAATTAAAAACAGAGCTGTCTTTTGACCCAGCTATTCCACATCTGGGAATAGATCCGAAGAAACCCAAAACACTAATTTGAAACAATATATGTACACCTATGTTCATTGCAGCATTATTTACAATAGCCAAGATCTTGAAACAGCCCAAGTGCCCATCCATAGAAGAGTGGATAAAAAAGCTGTGGTACTTTTACACAATGGAATACCACTCCCTGTTTAAAAAAAAGGGAAATTTTACCTGGAAAGTATGACCCTAAGTGAAATAAGTCAGTTAGATAAAGACAAATACCATACAGTTTCACTTATTTGTGGAATCTGATGAACAAAATAAAGTGACGAACAAAATAAAACCGAGGTATGGATACATGGAATAGACTCACAGCTGTCAGAGGTGAAGGGTTTGGGGGGGGCTGGATGAAAGAAGGTGAAGGGATTAAGCAAAATAAAATACATATATATACAACACATAGACACCGACAACAGTGTGGTGACAGCCAGAGGGAACGAGGGGTGGGGGTAGGTGGAGGTGGCAAAAGGATCATAAATCAGGAGGGAAGGCTTTGCTTTGCGCAATGGGCACACGATGTAGTGTGCAGATGATATTTTGTTGAGTTGTATACTTGAAACCTGTATAGTTTTGTGAACCAATGTTACCTCAAAAAATTCAAGAAGAATATTTCACATATATTAAGCTTAATTTAATATTGCAATGATATATATGTGTGTGTGTGTTTAACATTTGTGTTTTATTTACCCAACTAAATATTATAGGCACATTGAGTGTAAAGTATCTTATACATGTTTATGTATATTTCTTTTAAAAATATTTTATTAATAGACAGCTGTCAGTCTGTTCTATATATCTATGCTCTGATGAATATAATAGACCCAGAGGCAAGGATACATGGAACAGGCTGACAGAAGTCATAGGAAAGGGGGATAAGGGAGGCGATGAAAGGAGGTGAAGAGATTAACCAAAGAACATGTACACATAGCCCATGGGTACAGACAACAGTGTGGTGATGGCCAGAGAAAGGGGGAGCCAGAGCTGGGGAGAGGTGGGTAAAGGGGGTGAAAATGGGGGGTATCTGTAATAGTGTCAACAATAAACTAAAAACAAAAACAAATCAACCAACCAACCAACCAAAAAAGAATAGGAGTGCCCAGGTCTGGGAAGATGGTGCCAGAGGGGCTATGGGATATTGGACCGTGACCTCAGTAGTTGATCTTCCAGATCTCTCTTTGGGGCTACAACACCCAGATCTTCTCTTTATGACTCTCCTATGCGCTGAGTCACCTTTGCTCTGACAGAGCCCTGGGTGAGTTCCCAAGAGCAAGCTTCTGTATCCTGAGCCTTTAGGAGAGCAACTTGTGTTCTGGCAGACTCCCTCCTGTTCCAATGGACAGGGCCCCCACTGATTTTCACTGCAAGGTGCTATGCAGATTCCCCTTCCTGGCCCTGGTGCTCTGGTCTGGGGGTCCTGGTTTGAGGCTGAGTCGCTAGTCTCCTCAGGGGCTGCTTTTGCAGTGGAGATATCCCTCTGCCACCTCAGTCACCACACATGGGTTCTCTTCACTTCTCTGCCCTTCTCACCAGTCTCTATGTACCTTCTTTTATAAATTCTTGGATATAACACTCCTGTTCAGCTGTCCTTCAGTCAGTCATTCAGGTTGATTGCTCTATAATTTAGCTGTATATCTGGTTTGGTGCTGGGAGGTGGTGAGTGTAGCTTACACCTGCTCTGCAGCCATCTTGAGATATCTGCAATGCTATATTTTTGTGTGTACAATATATTTCAAAATATAAATATCTTTTAAAATAGCCCATCAGTGGATTCTTTCAAATGGTTGCCAGTATGAATAAAATGGTCATAAACAGAATAATTCATGAGTCTTTGACCATGGTCTATTTTATTTTTTTGTGAAGAAG